GTGAAGAGAGATTGGTTAGGGACGGGGCGTCAGGACTTTCTTGACTATCCTCCCCATGTTTATTGTTTAGTATATTATCAAGATGGGTTAAACTGGGGTGACTCGTGTATTCTCTTCATGTGGGATGTTGGTTTTCATCGTATTGATCTATGAGATCAAGGGGGCGTGTGGTCTATAATTATAATTCGGTGTGATTACTAGACGAGCCAGAATCACGTGAAATAAGTGAACAAACTCTGTGTAGCCTAGTAAGTGTAGGAGAATATGGGAGCATGGGGGGTATATAAACAGGCGCGAAGGTTGAACCGGCCTTCCGAGCCACGACTTAAATTTAGGCTGAGCGGGGATCGACGGTACTGGTGGGTCGACGCAGTGGATGGAGCTCCCGGACCTGTAAGACCCACACACATCGTTCCCCGCTCGAAACAGTGAGTATTGAAAACAACGTAGATCTAGATAGACTAACGAGTAGAATCTAGGGTTAAATAGAACTTATCTTCACATTACAAGATCGAGAATCTAGATATAGATATCTAGATCTAGAATCTAGATCTAGACGATCTAGATCTATCTAGATTTAGATCTAGATCTAGATGAAGATTAGATCTAGCGACGTGGCTAGCCGTACTTAGACTGCCAGTCTAGCCGTACTTAGATCTAGGTTTGGCCCTATCGACTCAAACCTTTTGAGTACACAGGTCTCATTAGATCTAGATTATCTAGATCTAGATTCTAGTAATTATTCAGGTTTAAAATACATGCAAGTCAGGAAGGCACCTTTTGGTTTTGTCTGAAATACAAATACTTTAATTGAGCATTGCAAACTAAAATATTCCTTTACAATTCAGCCATCAATAACGAGTACGGCTAGCCTGTTCCTTAGATCTAGATCTAGAATCTAGACTAGATCTAGATATCTAATATTTAAATCTAGTTCTAGATCTAGATCTAGAATCTAGATCTAGATTTAGATCTCTAGATCTAGGTCTGGATCAAGATTTCTATTATTTTAGGATTTGAGTTTAGGAGGCAAGTAGCTCAGTAGTAGGCCCAGGTAAAGTAGATCTAGATTCTAGATCTAGTTT